AAATCTTATAAGGAATTCAGTGACTCACTTCCAAGATCACATAATGAATGAAGGGAAGCCTGACTTAAAATAAATCTTTAAAAACAATGTTTTCTGAGTCATTCTTCTTCATTTATTCAATATTATTCTACCTGTATTACTGTGTGCTTTCCACGTGCACTGAGAATACAACAGTGAATAAAGGTCAAGCTCCTTGCTTTTACGAAGTTTACCTTAGGCTGAGGTTAGCTAAATTCCAATCCAACACACAGCAAAACTATTTATCACTATCAGTGAGTTTACAAACTAGTCAAAAGGCTACATCTAAAGGATCAAACATGAAGAAATTAATATATTAAGGTAATAATAAAAAAGTATAAATGTTCTTTGGTAAATAAAGTAGTGAGTTTATGATGAACATGCTGAAAGTAACTTGTGAAAAACTGCATGAGGAAGCCAACTTCACCGCTTCCCTTCCAGTCCTTCTGTCTTGTCTGTCCTGCCCTAGACACTCCAGACCTCCTTTGCTTACATTCCATGCAATTTTGTCACGTCTTTCTGCTGTTCCTATTCTCTAGAATCCTCCCCATTGCTTCTTTTAAATAACTGATTTACTTACTTTTCATCTTTCAAAACCTAGTTTAAAAATCCCTAAGACTGACTGATAGATTATTCTTGTTCAGGTATCCTCACTCAGTAACTGGGGCCTTCTGAGAATGTAAGAGAGTCTATGGAATAAAGAAGGAAAAGTTAGTCAATAAGAAGTGAGCACAATTTTTCATCCTTGGGAAACCAATCAACCCTGTAAGAGAAGGATGTGATGTTTCAAACTCAGTAATTTGACAAAATTTTATTGAGAACCAATTATTCCATTTTTTCTAAGTAGAGATACATCATTGAATAAGACAAAAACCATTCTTTTGTGCAGCTTTGATTGTAGGGGCAAGACAAACAATAGCAACAATATATATAATTTGACAGAAGCAAATAGTCAGCCTTCCCTATCTGCAGAAACTGCATCCTTCCATTTAACCAAGCATGTATAGAAAATATATATTAAAAATTGTATCTGTACTAAATTTGTATATATTTTTTTCAACTTGGCATGATTAGCTAAACAATATATATAAAAACCATTTACATAGTATTGACAGTTTAGTGTGTATTACAAATGATATGGAGATTATTTAAATAACTAGGTTTCTTTTTATAGATTATGTGCAAATATTTTAGCATTTTATACACACTTGAGCATCTGAAGATTTTCTTACCTGTGGAGAAATTAATTAGGGAGGTATATATAGTACTATATCCTGAAACCAATTCTTCACAATTACCAAGGGACAACAGTATATAATTTAAAATTGTGATGATTGTGAAAAATCAAAAGACAGTGGGATTATGTCTGAGAGGGATACAGATATTTTGGTTGACAATTCAATACATTTCATCTTATCTAACTAATAGCAGCAATGTCTCCTTTAGGAAACTCAATTAAAAAGGTGACCACTCTTATTTTAAATTTGTCCCATTCATTTTATCCATGATTTATTCAAGCATAATCATGTGACCCATTTCCAGTCAATGAAATGTAAAACAAGTTTGCTGCAGGTGTTTCAAAAGCTTTTCTCATCTTTAAGAAAGAATTGTAAGAATTCAATAGTTTTATTGTATCAACAGGAACTTTGTAGCCCAGATTGATGCTGGACCTATTTATAACTATGAAGGGAAGCAGCCTTAGCAGCAAGATCATGCTAACAGGAAAAGGAGAGAACCCTTGAAGTACTCCCGTCAATAGCCTGAAACTTCTCCCGTCTCAGGCTTCCTCTGTGTGATCCAATACATTTCCAGTTGTTAAAGCAATTTTGAACCACATTTTCTTTTACTTGTACTTGAAAGCCAATGATATAAAAGGCTGGATGGTAGGGTAAGACCTCTTTGGAAAGGTAGGATTGGGATTGAAACCTAAAAGATGAGAAACTGGCCAAAGATCTGGGGACTTTGAAAACACCCAAGACAAAGACCCTAAAGAGGAATGAAATAATTGTCAGCATTTCCAGGGGACAAGAAGGACTGGAGAAGAGAACAAAGGGAAGAATGGGATCAGCACAAAGTAAAAGATAGAAGAGAGACAGAATAAAGTTTAACTAAGATTTACATAGCATGAAAAATCCCTTCTTTGAAAGGTACAGCAGGAATGGAGTCTCTTGATAATCTTCTTTCTGAAGTCATAATCTTTTCATGCCATTCATAACAATTAGCACCTCAAATACCCTCTAACCCTTTGGCTTTTCTAGAGCTAAGATCCACATCTTGAATTTGAAGATCTATCTTAAGTTATCCAATTCTAATTAAACACTGAGGGATGAATATATGTCCTGCTTAGGGTTACAGACATCCATAAACAAGGATGTAGAGAGAAAGATGTGAATTTAAAGAATTTATTGCAAGACAAATGGAAAGAAATATGAGCAAATCAATATCCAGACTTTTGGGCATGAAAATAAATCTGCTTTTAGGTTAATATTTGAGTATCAAGAACTAAATGAACAATGAGAAAGATCTTATTTTCATAATTCATTTTATTATAATCTCTGAATCCTTAACATATTGTGATAATAACCATTACCAGTTATTTGTAAATAATTTGTAAAGTTATACTTCATAACATCAATATGGCGCTGATTTTTACTTATTATATTTTATACCTAATATTTTCATGATGTGTGTGTGTGTAATGTCTACCCAATAGATTACAAGTTCCTGGAGAAGAGACCATTTTGAAATCTGTTTGGGGTTCCTTTATCTCTAACCTCTATCAATTCAATAGAAACTTAGCATATACTTGATAAACTAATGGCTCCTTAATTTCCAACTTATACTGGCAGATGGAAATGCTATGTTTCCTTTTCAATATTTAAATCATGTTGAATGCATGGCAGTTGAGTCATTCCAAGCATTTTATGAAAAATTTTACATAAGGAAGGATTCTCTTGGCTAATTAAAAATTGTGGTTATCAATCTTATAAATTTGACTTGTTTTCTGATTTTCTGAAATTCCTTAGTTTCTCAGAAATAGATGTTCTGATCTGCAAAGACATGTCTAAACATGTACTGTCTTTCAAATATTATTGAAATGTCTGCCTCTTTAAAGAATCAGTTTAAGCACCCCAAATTGGATTTCAATGTTCTTTCTATGTGTTCCCAGAAACCCTATTTGTAAGAATCATCCTGTGTGGCTCAGTCTTTCTCTGGTAGATACGGAATACATATTCAGTTAGTAAATTAAGAAAAAAAAAATTGGTGACATGAAATTTTCTCCCCATTTCCAATCTCTTAGGGGAATTATTCAATAAAATAAGATTTCCATATAAGTTTTTGATACAACAAATGAATATATGTGTGCCTTGTTGACATTTATAGTGTAGTATTGAAGCCAGATTTACAGATAGGAAGTTGGTGTAGTTAGGAAAAGGGATCTAATAAGTAAAGTCAAGAATGAAGGTCATTATTGAGAATGGAGTCCAGGAAAAGGGGAATTAAAAATGTCCCAAGGCTCAGAGCCCATCCCAAGGAAATGTTAATGAAGCAGCTCTCAGCAAATCAAGAGATGCTAATCCAAAAGCCCTTCCTGCCCAGATTATTCCTTCTGCCCATCTGCCCCCCCTTTTGGCCTTCCCACCTACATTCCATCACTAACAGAACAAAGGACAGGAATGTGATAGGAATGGGGAAAAGCTGAAATAAGACCTTAGCTATAAAAAAGGGAAGACCTCCCCCTTCCATGGATTCCACCTCTAGGGTCCCCTTCTTCCTCGGGGAGAAGTCTTTTCTGCTCTCCTTTAATAAAGCTTCTACTTTCCACTCTAACCTTGCCTTGGCCTGCTTCTCTGGTGTTATACTTCAGCATTGGGGAAGCAAGGACTGGTCACCGGTAAACAGTGGTAACAGTGAAGCCAGATTTAAAGACAGGTAGTCAGTGTAGTTAAGTAAATCGGGTCTAATATGGAGTAAGATCCAAAATGGAGGCCATGTTGAGAATGAATTTCGGGAAAAGCAGGACAACTCATGGAATGTTAATGTCCCCAAGGCCCAGAGCCCATCCCAAAGAAGTGTTAATGAAACAGCTCCCAGCAAACTTGAAGATGCTGACTCAAAAGTCCTTCCTGCCCAGATTACTTCTTTGGCCCACCTGTGCTCCACCCTTCAGGACTTCCCACCAATATTCCATCACTGAAGGAACTATAAAATGGGGAGACAACCATACTTCCACGGATTCTGTTATGCTCGAATTCAGGACCCCCAAAGACCACCAGAGACCCAAGATCAATGTAAGCAGCAAAGAGGTGTTTATTGCGAGCTAGCTCGGTCCTCCACACACACACAGCAACTGGTGACGCTGAGAGGCCCCGAGCCCAGGGTTTGCAGCATTTTTATACATTTTTTGGAGAGGGCAGGGACTTCACATACATCATAGCAAATCATCACACACCGCGGGAAAATCAAATAACAACTCTAAAACATGATTAGCACATTCACTGGAGGGAACAAGTTGGGGAGGGGTGATTGGTCAGAACAAAAGGGGTATTGGTTTGAACTGATTGGTTTGAGCTAAGAGGGGTGTACGTGCTGAACTACATGGTTTCCCATCATGTTATCAACCACCATAAACTACTGGGAGGGTCATCTGGCATCCCAGGTATTTCCCTGTCTCATGCTGATTGGTGGCTGCTAGCGGGTTGCTATGGATCCCCACCTAGCCTGACTGAGTCAGGGACACCTGGCACAGCAGATCTCTCCTGTTATTTGTAGATAAACAACTTAGCAGGGTGGGAATGTGCTTAGGAGTGCTCTGTGGGTTTTTTCAAGGACAAAGGTCATGTCCCTTTCTTGGTCAGGCTTTGCTCTGAGGTAGAGGCTGGTTTTTCAGTTCCATCTCTTGGGTCCCCTTCTTCCTCCGGGAGAAGTCTTTTCTGCTGTCCTTTAATAAACTTCTACCTTCCACTCTGACCTTGCCTCGGTGTGCTTCTCTGGTGTTATACTTCAACATTGGGGAAGCAAGGACTTGTCACCGGTCAACAGTATATAGTGTCCAAGAACATTCCCACAAATTATTTCATCTTCAAGATTTCTCTTTTAAATTCCAATAATCCTTCCCTGGTTCTTCTCCATTTCAATCTCCAGCCTGACGTAATGAATATTAGAACTCAAAATTATAAGTGTGAAGGAATAAATGCAGCTTTAGAACTACCCTTACATGATCAGTATAAGAATTCCGTGACATCACGTGGGGTCATTTTCTTATAACAGCCCCTTCAATCTCCTGCTAGTGTGTGCCCAGTAAAAGACCAATTAAAGTAAGAGGAGGACCATCCCTTAAATTTTTCAATAACAAACTATGAATATAAGAAAAATAACTCATTTTCTAAGCAAATCAAAATTTGCTTTCTCAGCTACTCATTTTCCTCAATTCTTCTGCTTGGTCAAGATTTTACTGAAAAAACAAAAAGAAAATTAACCAAGGAATTAAAATCAAGATCTCTGGCAGACATTAATATGTTTAGCTTCTCTTTTTTTTTTAAATGATATTTCTAGAGTCTGCTGGATTTTTTAAAAATTCAAAACTGAATAACAAGTTTATCTTGCTATTTGCAGAACATTTTAACATGTAAACTTGACTCACCTTTGAGATTTTGACAGAACATTTTCTTGCAGCTTCTGGGTGATCTTGGGTGAATCAGGATGAGCTCCTACAATTAATTTCTGGGGCTTTATACCTGTCAAAGAGAGAGTGAAAATGACTTGCTGTCTGGAGGAATGTCAGCGGCCAGGCTATCATTATCTGCCAGGAAGCAACTTCAGTTCCTCTCCTCAGTTCCAAATGAGGTTATAATGAAGAAGTCTGGATCTGCTTTGAATGTTCTCCTTTTTTTTTTTTTGAGAGAAAAAATACTGACTATTGGGGTTTTAGTTGGCTCCATGGGAGATATATTTCAAACCCTGTGTTCACTTCTGTGCAAAATATTGCTTTACTTTTACAAATGTAATATACCTTTAAAATCCTCTGGAAACAGGTTTCGTTTTTTGTCATTACAGGGATATTTGACGTTTAATGAAGTGGAATGAAAAGATGTTTACCTGTTTCAAGCAAAGGAAGATATAAAAGCTGCTGCCATTTTCCTGATTCATCATGTCGTTACTGTTACATAAAGAAGAATAAATTCACCATCAGACACCTGCACTTACACGTCAGCATGCAGCATGAAAATCTGGAAGGTTTAGAACTTACATTGAATCACTTTTAGGAATTCCTTCTCCAAGTTTAGTCAGTGTTTCTGGGAAAAATTATTTGAAATCTGAATACTGAAATTGTATGTTGTTTTTTATTAGGGTTTTCTGTTTGTTGAATAATTATCCTTGTGTTCCTGCAGAATGAAAACTGATTAAAGTTGCTATTGCTCTGCATTGAGATTGGTTTTCTCCATAAGCCAGGAATTGTACTGTTGAAGAATTCTTACTACAAGCTTCCAGTTAAGGTGGATATTTGAACCTTTTAAAATATATATTAAGTAGAGCTGCAAAAAAAAAAAGAAAAATCAAAAGTTTTTTTTTCCTTTTCTTTCTTTTTTTTTTTTTTTTTTTTTTTGCTGTTTCAGACTTTATTCTTGGCAAGCTGTAACCTCTGGATCCTCTAAAACTTCTTAGTGTCTCACAAAAATTAGCTACTTGAAAGCCTTTCAGGTCCACAGGATGGTCAGTCAACCTGGCCAGTTATACAAAAACAAAATAAAATTAAGGCTATGTCAAAGCCTCCACCATAGACACATGGGCTTTGAGGGACTTCCAAGACCCTCATAGATGGATAACTCTGAGGATCATGTTGGTTTAAGACACTTCCAAGGATACAGAGTCAATAGTGGGTGTGTCCACTGACTCCCAGATTCATTGTTCCCAAGTCTGCTTTTCCTCGCTTGGGTCCCTCTGTGTTCTCCTGAGACAGGCTATCATCTCCCAGGCTTCTGTGTCAGCTGACCCTTCTTACTTAAGTACAGCGGGAAGCACTGGTGGAAGACCTCAGAGCTAAAGGAATAAAGCCACCAAGAGTGTCTTCACAATATCCACAAATGGCCCTGCCATCCTACCTCATTTCCCATCCATAAACTTGATGAAGAAAATGAAAATTTAACCTCTACATTGAAGATGGGGAAAAAAATGCTTTGATGGGCTACACAGGTAACATGAATGAACCAAGCAGGTACAGAGTAGGTCCTTTAAAAACATGCAGCCCATCTAAAGAAATCAAGACCCCACACACCTCCAGGCAACTACTTCTGAGTGAAAAAAGCTGGGGTATGCAGCTGACTTTCCTGAATTTTTCACTGAAATAAGACAGCCAGAGCTCTTGGTGAAATTTTCTTATTTTTAAAGTGATAGAATAGAAACCATATTATTAAAAAAGAAAAAATACTGTATGAACCAAAGAGAAGCTACGGTGGGAAGCATATGGCAATCAATTTATGATTCTAGCTTTGGGGCAACAGTTCACCTGGGGAGCAAAAGTACATTTAAATGTTGACAATATGTGGAGAGTTAATGCAATAATCTGGGTACTTCTCCCTGACAGCCCTTCGTATCTAGTACTTGGTTATTTCAAACCACTCTCTCGTAGTAAATTATGTCAGTGTAGCTGCTTAAATATTACACTGACCTTGGTATATTTGAACCCACACCAATCATGATCACCCTGAGCTTGTGGGAGTTAAAAGGACAACATTTGATAAGGAACATGAAACTGAGGTAATACAAATGCAAACAAATCTCATTGTAAGGACATGGCATACCTTCAGTTATTATCTACAAATAAACCTCAGTAATGAGATTTAGGGTTCCTCTCAGTTGCATGTTGATGATAAATTCTCTGAGGAGCTGACTCTAACCCATTAAAAGCAAGCTTGCTCCTGCCACTGTGGCTGTTAATTTGACAAGACACTGTCACATTAAGTAGAACAAACATGTTTTCGCCCAGTCGGCCATCCAGAACCGATATGGCTGTTACTCTAACAACCGGATATTGATTGGAATCATTCACCCCTTCCGACCCTCCACTGGGAGTCAGCTCAGGCTGACAGAGGGCTTGCCTCTTTGGCACACACAGATACATGTTAAGGAGAGCCACAAATTTTAAACCATTTAGCTCCTTGTCATGTTTATCTTTCAGACACTGTCTGGTTCGCTTTTACATCTGTGGGATAATAGGCTCTGAATAAATCATTGTTTATTAATTTTATGGATCTCCACATTCATCTGGAAGGGCTGTTGTGTTTAGCATTTACACTTTATAAATGCAAAATATCAGAAAATACACATAAAAGGATTTTGTAAGAAAATTTTTAAATGGACAAAAAATTAAGATCCTTTGAATTCTAAAAGAGAGGATAGAATCAAACCTACCAGCTCCCCTTTCTCTTTTGGTACCAGGGATTGAACCCAAGGGCCACAACCACTGAGCCATATCCCCAATTCTTTTTGTATGTTATTTTGAGACAGAGCCTCACTAAATTGCTGAGGCTGGCTTTGAACTAGTGATTCTCCTGCACAACTTTTGAAGCTGCTGGGATTACAGGCATGTGTCACCATGCCCAGCTCAAACCTCTTTTTAATCTGTGTAATGCAAAGGCCTTAACTCAGTTTTCAAATAACCAATATATTTACCAGATAAGATCATAAAAATCTCACTGGAAATAGAACTAATATTTAACTTATCACTAATCTCTGGCTATTTTAACATTCCTATTAATAGGTGTACTGAACATTTAGCAGATTTTGCTTTTATCCAGTAATTGACCTACCATAGATGGATTTTAACACATGAAATTGCTACACTGTCATTTACCTGTGCCTGTGTGTCAGTCTAAACTCATTTTGTACCCTTCTCTCTGCATTATAGTCCACGATAACCTTGGAAGCTCATGGTTGCAAAAGGGCTTTTAAAGGACATATAGTCAAATCAATTCATCAGAGTCCCTTGCTTGGTCTGGAACATTTCCAAGAAGTGGGCATCCAGTGATGCCAAACCCATTACACACATAACCACTCTGGAGAATTATATTTAACATTATTGTTTTACATGGAAAATTGTAAATCCTCTGGTCACATAGTATAGGTCAAACTCCTTTTCTGCATGGTAGTCATTCCAATATTTGAAAATAGTAATGGTATTCTCTTTCTGTTTTCTCCAGGCTAAACACCTCATTTCTTTCAACCATTTCTCCTTTATCAGCAGTCTGAAAACTGGTCTGAGGGTCATAACCTACCTTTTACCTATATTTTAAATAAGGTTTCATTAGAGTATGTACATTTAAATTTAAATTTTGTATAATTCCTCTCATGCTAAAACTGCAGAATTGTATAGCTGTGGTAGAAATTTATGGTCCACATAGCCAAAAATATTTATCTGGTCCTTTATATAAAAATCCTGTTCACTGATCCCTGTCCTATACCATGCTCTGTCAAGTCCCCTCATCATCTCTATTCTTGTTGTCTTAGTCTTCACAACCTCTCTTAGACAGTAATTCTCCAAATCATGAGAAGCTTATATCACTTCCTCTGGATACTCTTTGTATTTATGAAGACGGGAAATCCACTCACTTATAAGCATTCTCCATCATAATGCCCAAAGAAATCCCCAGATGAACCACTGATATTTGTCTGTTTTACAGTAGAAAATATAAAATTTTATAGGTTTTCTCTAAGTCTATATTTATTTGAATATTTCATTGTCTCTTAAAAATATGCTTTTGTGTGCTGAGAGTGTAGTTCAGAGGTAGAACACATGCTTAGCCTGTATGATATTCTGGGTTCAAACCCCAGCAACAAAATTAAAAAAATAAATAAAGAGAAAAACACTCACAAATACCTTTTGAGTTCCTGCTTTTGCATAGCATTATTCTATGTACTGTATTAAATGCTAAATAAGACAATCACTCTCCAAAGGAGTTTACATCTGTTTGCATAAATAAAAGTATTTATGAAATAAATTATTTCATTGTATTTTGAAAATCTCTCTTTGCTAGATTGTCAGCTCCTCGAAGACAGGAAACTTTCCTGTTTGTTTTATTATGTCTCCACAATGTCTAGAATAGCTCCTGGCACATGGAGATATTCTGTAAATATTGGTTAAATGAATAAGATAATAAATATGAGACAAAATATAATTAAATATTAAATTAAGTGATAAAGACAATCTGAACACCAGGAATTCTGGGTATAGACAAATGACCATGCTCTGCACATAAAGCTATATTGAAATTTAACCATATAATCTAACTTTTCCTTTAAAAGAAAAATCTCCTTTATGGTCTTCAAATTAATATTTCTCATCTGCATCAGAAACTTCTGGTTTGCTTATTCAAAGCAGAGATTCTTGATAACAAAGGACTGACCTACTGAATCAAAATCTAACTGTCATGCCGAGAAATATGCATTATTACCAGTCATCCAAGTGATTCTTATGAGTCTGAAAGTTTGAAAACTACCATTCACAACAAAAGATGATAACAGACTATAAGCAAATTCATCAAGTGATGAAGAACTCACACTACAAATGTCCAGCTTCTAATTTTTATTAGATTTAGTTTCAGAAAAAAAAATATTGATCAAGTTGCAATCTGCCTTCTATGATTTCCAATCATTTGTTTTGGTTGCATTTATTAAAATCACATGAAACAATTTTTTTCCTCTTCCACATGATAGCATTTCAAATGTGTGATAAGCCCTGTAAAATTTCTTCTCCAAGCTAACCATTTCGTAGCTGGCTTTATTTTTGGAGTTGTTGTTCATTGGCAGAATTATCCAGGGTCTACTAGTTACTCCAAAGTTCCAAATTTTAGGTGTCAGAAGAACCTGGCATCCAGAGTACAGAGTGGTTCTCTCCTCTTCTACTCAGAGAAAACCAGTCTAGCACATCCTACTCCCCACTGGCACCTGAAGCTACAAGACAGACCTTCCATTCTAGCTCTTGATGTTCAGTCTCAGCCAACTCATCAGAAATTGTGAAGGGACACTTACTCACAGACCATGGATTCCTGTCTCCACACCATTCTTGATTTTCCTGGAAAGTTCTACATTTCTCAACATCAATCTTCATATGTGTGTCCTAGAATAGGCTGAAGTATCAGAGAGTCAGAATTAACCACCTATTACACGTGCAGCCTTAGGTCATTACTGCTGAAACTCTTTTAGTTCCTGTTTGTTTGATTTATGCAATAGAGATAATAGTACTACCCCATATGGTTGTGAGAATTAAATGAGGTAGTATATATGAATTATATAACATAGTACTCTGTATGCAGTGAGTTTTCAATAAATAATCCTGTTAGTGTTGGAGGGTTTTTATCATCACTATTATTTACACCTCTGTCTCCTCTTGCAGATTGTGAACTTCTCAAGGCAGGGACCACAACCGACTTATCTTTACCTCCAGTTACTAAAGTGCCACCAGAGAGAGCTAAGTCATATGGACCAATGCTCTCTAAGATTCCAACCTCCCCAATACTTTGCTTATTGCCAGTCCTCCACTTTGTACTCCTAAACTAAGTCAACAACTCTATGAGAAACCAATTACAAAAGTCACCATAATAGGAGGGTGAGGCAGGAGGATCATGAGTTCAAAGCCAAACTCAGCAACTTAGCAACCTGTCTCTAAATAAAAATACAAAAAAGGGCAGGGGATGTGGCTCAATGGTTGAATTCCCTTGGGTTCAATCCCTATCAGCTAAATAAATAAATCACAATGAGAGCATCCTTCATCTTGGTAATTTTCTCAAATCCAGCTTTCCTGACCCTCCCCTTGCTCTCATGCTGAGTCTTGCTTCCCAACCTTATACCTGGTCCTCCGGCTTGGTCATGAATTGGCACTGGATTCCAACTTGCTCTCTGACTCATCCCATATTTCTGGCCCCAGTGAGCAGCTACCCTATCTTCCTTAGTTGCAGCTTCTAGAGCCTCAAGCAGCACTCTGTGTTGAACATTTGGCCAGCACGCCAGTCATGCTTAGAGAAGAGCAAAGCTGGGGAGTGAGGAAGATGGCTTGATACGAGGTTAGCTTCACATCAGTCTGGTCTATCCTCACTGTGTCATTTCAGCTTCAACTGTTTTGCCGTGCTGATAAAAGAGGAGAGTAACACGTTATTAATATTTCACTGCATCATCTGTGATAAAGTGTCCATGAAGCCACTGCAACTAGACATGGGTTATGCAGGTAAATCCCGGAAAATTTCATCAGCATCTGCTTTAGAAGTCAGAAGCAAACTGCAGGTGTTGAGTTTGACCTCCTTTGTCTTTGTGGCAGTGGCCCAACACCCAATCAATCTTAGAGCGCGAATGTGGTGCTCTGCAAAGAAGAGGCTGGTACAATTCAGCTGAGTGGGCGGGTTGATGGAAAGTGACTGTGGCATTGCTGAGTTCAAATGGAATTAAGGATTCATGAGAGCATTGCACAGGCAGGCGAGCACAGAGCCCCGGATGAATACAGAATGAGTCACAAGGGAGACCTGACAAGGCTTCGAATCCTAAATAAGCAAGGAATTGCTTTTTGATGATGCCGAACTATAAATATCATCACCTCAGAAAACCAGGTTCTCCTTTTTACATCAGGAATGAGCAGAGAAGGCTACATGAAAAAAATGTGTGTGTTATCTGCAGGCAAAATGCTTTACCTAAGTGAAACCACCGCTCTGAAGCCCACTCTTGAATGAATTTTGCAGAAACATACTTTTCTGAAGCTATTGTTTTAATTTTTTTATCCTACTAAAAGTCACGAGTGGAATTCATATAAATTCAGCTTCTCTGGGCCACTTTGCCAGGCAATAGAATTAATAGCATTTTCTGTTGTTCCATTTTGGATCTGGCTATGGGATTGCTGATGTCTAAATATCACATGTCATAAAGATCTGTCAGGTTTGCCTGCCATGCTTATCCCTCTAACTCCTTGCACTCTCAAATTTCAATCTTGCAGCCATGGACAGAAAGCAGAGAAACAGCAATTGTATTTTTTTTTTGCCAGAATTTTCTTAAAATCATTGAAAAGAACATGTCAATATCCTTGGATTTTAAATCTTTGTGTTTGTCCTGAGCAGCCGTCATGGAATCTCTCACTGTAGGTCTTGATGAATTAGTTCAGACGTTGATCACAAAGTAGGCAGGTGTTCAGTGCTGAATTCCCATGACTTGTCCAATTCTACAAAGAAGAACGGGCCTATATTCAACTCCAATAATTTAGCAAAATAGAGAAGGTTGAACTCTTGCTTAAAATCCAGGACTGTTCTGTATTCATTGTAGCCTGGAATGAAATGACATACCTTCACACTGGAGCTCTGTGTGTACATTCTTCAAGCATATACAGATATATATGTATATAAACCTGCTAAAATACTGTATTGTCTCCATTGCAGCTGTCAAAACCATGTGTCAGACAAAGAGAGCTAAACAAGACCTAATTTAAGGGAAATAAATTATGTATGTGGGGCCTGGATCGACATGGATGTATTCGACTCTAATGTTCAGCAAGCTGATTAAACCAAAGCAGGTCTGAGCTTTGGGCTACGTGACCAGAATTTCAGCAAGGAAGACTTTGCATCATCTGGGAAGAGCTCATCTACTTCCTCTGATCTCTTCCAATTTCTGACTATTCTTTCTGTAATTATTTGTCAACTAAAGGGAAGGAGACGGTGCTGCTGACTACTTTGTGTTTCTATCTTAACAAATATCTACTGAAAAATTCCAGCACCTTGCCTGACAAATATTATCTATTTGATTAATCACAGTAATATCCCAGAACATTCATCATTTATTAAAAAGAATCTTTGGTCTTCCAGAATTTTCTGAGAGTTTTTCTTGTTTTCCTCCCTTTTCATGGTGATGTAAAGGAAAGCTGTGTAAAAAGAAGCTATATTATATAAATCTAACACTCTCTTCAAGTGTAATTTACATCATGTAAACTTCACAACTCCCTTAAAATTATACTGTTGGCTCCTTATGTGGGATTTTTATTATATAAATAAAATACTCTCTGCATTTAAACTTAACTGTGTATATCTGTTTCCCTCTCTCTCTCTTCTTACACACACACACACACACACAAACACACACACACACA